GGTTCAAATTCTAATTGGCCGGTTTTGGTGCTCATTTTTTTTTGGAGGTCTCCGAATATTTACAAGTACCCCAAAACCGGCCTTAACCAGAATTGGTACCTTGCCGGTACCGATCTAACCGGCCAGTTCCTGTTCAGACCGGCCGGTTTTACGAACAATGAGCCCAACTCAAGGCCGGGTTCCATTCCCAGCTCATGTTTTCCTAGACTGGCACAAATATAGATCTTTTTATACCCACAGGACAACGACCTACTTGAGAGTTTTTTTATCCAAAAGTTCGGACCTATTTTATCATCACCGTATGAGTATCTCGTAAAATTGAAAAAGACTTTTTAAGGGTCTAAACACTAGGCTCTGATTTTTAAACTTCCAATATTTTGGCCTGACTTTTTTTATGCAATTGTACAGTGTACAATGATTCTGTTATTTTCTCAGATAGTGGGTTATATTCTAAAAGTAGCCCTAGCTTAGAGTTTGTCTGATACTAGGTTGTGGCTTTCATTATATCACCCCAAACTGAATTACCCAAAATTAGAAAAGAACATAGATCTAACTGTTCAAATGCACATTCTTAATCTTTTGGCTATACTAATACATATTGCTGTTTTCACCCCGGGTATTAAGCGATTCAGAAAGAAAAAAAGAATTTAATGTTACAGGGGTAAACTGATTCAATGAAAACCCTAAGCAAGAAACTTTTTTGCAAACGACTTTTTATTAATTTCCAAGTAAGATGGATCCGTAGACACCATGTTAATTACTTCTACACTTGCTACAAAGCAAAATGAAATATCTCTGTTTTGGCATACACAAATTTCAACAGAAACAGTCGTTTAAAAGAAGAGGGGGCGATAGAGATGGTGATACATGTAAAAGAAAAAAGGACAATGTGATGGATTTCCAAGTAAGGAGGACCCGGCTCTTCTTCTAAAAGATTGCGGTTCATAAGGAGTCTTCGACTTACTATCACCACCTGGGAGCCACTACGAAGCTGCTACTACTCTTCGAGTCTGCTACATAGCTCTAGCACTGCTTTGTGTGCTTACTGTTGTTGTCGGAGTTGTCTTTCGGATGAAGTTTTATGAACTGTTAACTGCGGTGCAGTTCTTGAGTATTGGGCCTCACTCTCCTTTGATCTTCATGAAAGGATGAATTTAATCCTTTTATGAAGATTTTTTATTTATGCCCTTCTCATTACCATGGGAAATGACTATTTTCCTATTTTCGGACAAGGTTTTGATCGATTTTCCAAAGGGTTGCATCATTGAATATCGACCTTTGATCTCATTTTGGGATTAAAAATGTGAATTTGAAGAGAAATATAAGTAGGATTTTTTCAACTGTACGCTCTTAATAATAAGATCTAAAAGGTTTTTGGACTATTATATCGTGCTACATTAGTCCAGTGCAATGCCCTCATCCAATAGAGAGGGTAAATTTAGTCAGATGGGTTGAGACCGTGTTAAACGGAACGGGGTCGCGAGTGCCTAATAAAGATCCTAATGGACCTAAAGAAAAGCCCTAAGTATTTGAGTAATTTGATTATAAAGAGTAGGTCTTTCTTTATTATAAAGAGTAGGTCTTTTTAAGGGTACACATTGCAAAATATCAGATTTCAAAAATCCAAAAAAACAATAGTGTACTCCGTGCAAAATGTCACATATAAAAATCCACAAAAACAATAGCGTACTCCCATGAGAGCACGTTGTACATTTACTCCCCCAAAGGCCCACCGAGGAAGATTATCTATGGGGAGCAATAGCATACTCCCATGGCAACACATTGTATACTTAGAAGAGCAATTTCAAAAAATAAAAATAAATAAATAAGAAGAAGAAGAAAAAAAAGAGACATCTTGAGTTCACAAACAAAAAGTTCTTACTAATCAAAATTTCAATAGTCTATGTTCAATTTTGAGATGCCATTTGTTTTAGGGATATCCCAATAGAATGAGTGTAGCGGAGATGATCATGTTGAAACGAAGGATATAATTCAAAATGAATATATTCAAATAAATAATGAGTGTAACGGAGATGACAATGTTGAGATGGATGAGTGACAAGACAAAAAGAGATTGATTTCGAAATGAATACATTCCAAAAGATTGAAGTGTGATACCAATAGGTGACAAGATGAGAGAAAATAGAATTAGATAGGTTGGCCATGTGTGGTGTAAACCCGATAACACTACCTGTTAGTGTTGGATATGGGGATTATCCAAAGTCACGTACATAAAAAAATTTCATATTATATGGGATTGAGATTGATATTGATAAGTTTCTTAAAAGAAATAGAAATCCAAAAAGATTAGGACTATGGGATATATCTTTTGGTTTTTAGATATATGTAACACCTATAGGAAGTTTCATATTTGGTGTGGGCTCCTAACTTTATATAAATGGAATGAAAGTGCAGAGAATTTGTGTACCCTATTTGGGTCATTTTATGGGAAATGTAGCTTCCTTTAGAGAGAGAGGCAAGGCCTCCTCTACATTGGCACGGCCTCCTCTTAGAGAGAAGAGAACTTCTTACGGAGAGAAACACCATGGATGTGCCTCCTGTAGATCGAGATGTTAGTTTTTTGTAGAGATTTTGAGTGATTTTCCCTTTTAATGAGAGATTTCCTTAAATATTTTAGGTGGTTTCCCTTTTAAGTGAGAAAGAAGCGGTTCCCATAAAGATTTTGGGTTATTTTTTTTTTTAGTGAGATAATTTCTCTATTACTCTCAATGTTCTCTTCCAAGACAATGGTTTAACTGCTTTTAGTGAGAGAAAGTCTATGTTACTCTCAAGGTTCTCCTCATGGATAGTGGTTTAACTATATAATGGAGATGGTCTCTTTTTAGAGAGTGGTTTAACTATGGAATAAAGATAAGAGGTCAACGATAGGTACTGATGTAGCCCTCTTGAGCTTGTCATGTCCATTGATATAGCCCTCTTGAGGTGAACCACGTAAATCTTTGTGTTCCTATGATGTGTATGTTTCATGTTTTATTTCTCGTATTATGGCTCGTGCTCTCTCCTATTTTGTTTCTACCGGATAAATACACGATCTTAGTGGGATCCAACTTTTGGGATTCTTGTTCCGCATCTAATATTGTTTTTAAATTCTGACAGTTAAGTGGTGTGAGTTAGTTCCAATGGAAAGTTCAAAAAAAACAAAAGATATCCCCAAAAAAACATGATCGAAAGTAGTGAAAAAATATATAAAACTGGATGGTACTCCCTTAATATAGCATAATAGCATACTAGGATTTGTATAGCTTACCCCAAGCAATTTAAAAAAAGGCTTAACGATAATGATTTGTTTAAGAGATATTTGACTTATAAGATTTCAAATTTTGGGATGTCCAAAGTTCCAAGCTAGGTTTTAGAGAGGGCCTCGTGCGAGACCAAAGTTTGAAACGCACGTCTAGAACCATGTACAGGGTAAAAACAAAAGGCTTATGGTCCCAAAACAAAACCTGGGTACTTGCCTCCAACTGCCCCCTTGGCCTAGGGCTACCACACGTCAAAGGGAGCATATGTCAATTTGGTCCATTTGGAGCACCGTACACGCACTATTTAACCCAAATTTTCCATCTTGCACTAGTGAACTTCCTCCGGATTTCCAATCCAATATGGCTGATCGAAAATCTAGTCTAACAAGCCAGAATTTCAAGTAAAAACACGAAATAAAAAACTATTTTAGGCTGGTTTTGGCCGGTTCTCTTACTTAACCGGTTCTATCACATAACCGGTTCATGAACCCCTCTGGTTCTCTGACTTAACCGCTTCCTTGACAAAACTCATGAACCCAAACGATTCCCAATATTCTATAATATCTGGATCAGCCTGACCAATTCCCAAATTCGATTGGCCAGTTCCAATTTGGATCACTGATTTTTCAAACATCAAGCATGACCATGATGTCTACGCCAATTCAAAAAGCATCTAGATTCTTCATTTCTGCTTATTGCTTCATCTCTGCCATGTGTGTCCATCAGCAAGAGGGAAACCCTACAAGCACTGAGATTTGGCACACTCTCAGTAAGCAAAGGTCCCAATATATATCCGGGATTAAAAAGCATGACATGCCTTTCTAAAGCATGGCAGCCATTCCCTCTCTTTTCAATTCGAAGTTTTAGAATGATAAGGCTCACCTTTAGAGAGAGAAATAGTAGATAAATTCATTTATAGTGCCAGCACTAGCAGGTGCAGTAACTTGCTTTTTTTTCCATATGAAAAAGTAGCTTCCAAATTCCAATCCTTACCCACTCAAAACCCTAGCTAGAATCTATTCCCGCACAAGAGACCCATCCTTATTGGGATCCACCATTACTGCACAAATTCCCACCCTCTCTATCTCTCTGCATTTACTTTTCCTAAGCAAAATATTATAAGATTCCAAGTCCATCAAGCCCCCACTACCCTCTCCAACATTTCCATTTACAATAAATGCCCCCCAATCCATTAAGACTGCTTTGCTAGTACCTTAGGCCCACCACCATTGCTGAAAAGTAAAGCAAAAATAAATATATAAACATGTTCATCATAAAAATATCTCAGTGAAAGTGACCACACATATATCAGCCGAAATTTCGGGAAAATATCAGTTGATATCGCCAAGGAACATTGAACCAAGAATTGAATAAAGATTGCAGGGTAGTCAGAAAGAAATAAATAAAGATAATGAAATAATAATAAACTTTTTTACTAATTCAATGTTACATCATTTCATTTCATTTAGCGACAAATTTCAGGTCTCTTTCGGCTCACCGACCTCACCATTTTAGAGCACCGAAAAAACAAAGAAGAAATAAAACAAAGAGAGACCATCAATTCCACCTATGACGCGGCGACACGTATGCACAATGCCTTTTCTGCGTCCAATTGGAACCATTTTCTTCCACGTGGACCTGCTCCAGAAAAAAGAAAAAGGGTAAAAAAAAAAAAAAAAAAGAGCCCCAACCCCCGCTTTCTTCTACGATGTTCTTTTCAACCCAACAATAAAATATATATTAAATTAGAATTAAAAAACCCACTAAATGATACCCAAAAAAACAATTAAAGTTTCATTAAAGAAAGGGAAATTCGATTAAACCAAAAGGCCGAATGGATCGTCGTTTCATGCTTAGATGAAAATTCCAACGACCTCCTAGAAATTAAAAATTCATATAAAAACAAAGAAAACCCTAAACCCCGATTTTTTAAAAAGAACGATAACGAATTTCAAGGAGGCCCTCCTTTCTCCCAAAAATACCAAAAAAAGCCCAATTATTTACTTCTCTACCCCTGACTCATCAGCTCAAGCCTAGGAAGAGTAGGCTCGGAGCCAATATTGAGTCGGCTCAAGCCACGAGCTGATCAAGCTGCATCTGCTCGAGCCATGCACCAAGCATTGAGTGATCCATGGATTCGAGCGGAGGCGGCGCACCGTGAGCTGATCCGTCGCCCTGAGCCACAGAAGCCGACCCAGTCTTGTCCTTGAGCTCAGGAGGCGACTCCTTAACCAAAGACTGAACCCAGGAAACATCCGGCTCATCGAGTCCCGAATCGTTAATCTTGTTAGCCAGATCGAACGAGTTAGATCTCCTGAATCTCCCACCAAACTCGGAACCATCAACCCCCCAATCCACTTTTCCGCTGGGCGACCCCCACTTGGCTGTACCCCAGACAGAGCCTGAGCCCACCGGTGAGCCCACCACAGCGCCCGCAGCTGCGCCCAGGTCCCGGGAACTCTGGCTCCTCAACCCCCCCTGCCTGCTGCTGCTGCTGCTGCTGCTGCTGCTTCGCCAAGGCAGCCACCCTCGAGCCAAGAGGAGAGATCAACGCCTCGACCCCGCGAGGTGACATTCTACTCGGTGAACCTAGCACAAATGAGGCCTGAAGGAGCGATGCCTGGTCCATGCTCTTTTGTTGGTAAACGCTGGTGTTTATGGGAGGCAGGTTGAGCATGTTTTGGTTGAAGGCCGACACGGCCGCCGCTTTTTGGGACTGGATTTGCGGGCTGAGAGGAGCATAGGCTTCGGCATAGCGCGGGGAACCGAGCTCAGAAGCAAAGAGCTCGTCAAGGTTTGAAGGGGTGAGTGTCTTGCAACGTAAAGGGCGAGGTTGTTGAGCAGCAGTGGCGCTACGCTGTTGCTGCAAGGGGAGACAGGCAAGCTCGCCTAGCAACTGTTGCTGAGCTTGCTCAAACTCATCCATGGGCATATCACGAGCACTGAGCGACGAGCGTAATCTGCTCGACTGAAGCCCACTACTCACGGGAAGGTGAAGAGTGGGCACACTTGGCTGCGGCCACGCAAGGGAAGTATGCCCGAGGCCACCCGGGGATCCAAACGGTGATCCAATATTGACAGAGGATGGGGAGCCAGGCATCAATCCCTGAACATCAGCAGTTGATCTGGGTGAAGGAACTGCAGATCCAGTCGACATATAGAGGGGTCGCAGCTCCTCTGTGGTGTGGGCAAAGAAACAAACCCTTCGCATGCAAGACGTCCCATCCTTGCAAAGACGAGTGCGGTATTGCGCCGGGTGCAGCCAGCACTCAAACACCCCATGCGCGTACTCACACAGGTCTGCCCTGCGACATGCGCCCTTGCGAAAGTCAGGGCACGGAACACAGCTGTAGTGATACTTCCTCGGGTCCCGCCTTCTCGCATTTTCGCCAGGGTGAACGAATGGGCACTCTGTCCAGTCATGAGAGTAGGCTCGAGAGCATGGCCGAACCTTAAAAGAATACATTCGAAACTCATCGGTGGTGTAAATACTATTCTTTATATCAGGCAAGCTCGGATCCACCGGATATTCCTTCTTCTCAGAGAAATTGCCTGAAAAGTGGGCAGAATCTGGCAAAAACTTTGGGGAGCTCACAGAAGATGAATCATTTGATCTTGGAGACGAACCATCCGGTGAAGAAGAGAGAGGAGGAGATGAAGAAACAGAGACGGAGACATTGATTTCACCATCAGGTTTCCCATCGAGTTTTCCGGAAGGCTTTTCCCCTGAAGATAAGAGCTCCTCTAAAGCTAGACGGATATGAGACAACTTTGGTGAAGTAACAATAACATCATGAGGCCTGCGGCCATGAGAATCGAGTGCATCAAGGTCAGCTCCGGCCTGCAACAAAAGTCTAACCACTTCGGTTGCATTTACCGACCCACCAAATGCCGCACAGTGAAGGGGAGTGCTCTTATCAGGTCCACAGGCCCTGTTTACACCAGAATATTGTTTTCTGGTGGCCTGATTCTCGCCAGAATGTAGATTTCCGCAAGTTTCAGAGAAAACAGAGAGAATATGAGCCAAGACTTCGAGGCTCCCGTACATGGAAGCCACCATTAAAGGAGTTCGTTGCTCTAGAACCATTTGATTAGAGCCGTTTTGGCGACAATACCAGACTCCTACACCATCAATCAGAGTTGGATCATTCTGCATGGCTTTCTTGAAGCCTTCAATGTCATTATTGGCAGCTAGCTCGAGGAGAGGGGAGAAGGAGTCTTCTTCAGTCAGAGAAGGATTCCCATTACACACGTCATTGTTGATTTTTTCCATGGAAGAGGAGTTATTTGAATTAGGTTTTTGGTGCTCTGGACCACTGCACATGCTTTAAGAGCCTAAGCCAAAACTGCAATCTGAAACAGAAGAGAGACCAGAGTAAATTGCCGGAAAAGAAGGTCTCCACCAGTAAAAGAAAGACTTTTTGCACCAAAGGATTTACTTGGCCGGAAAATGAATAGAACTCCCCCCCGGAAAATGCAGTGTTGCCGGAATAAAAAAAGGATAGTGAGCCTTATGTAAAGGAAATAAGAGGTTCGAGAATTTAAGGCCTAGGGAATATCGGCAAAATTGAAACAGGGAATATCGATGAAATAATATGAAAAAGCTAAGATTTTGAATATTTGAGCATGGATAAGGAAGACACTCTAAAAATAGAATAAGCCATAAAAACATCTCCTAAAAAATCGAACAAAGGACTGAAAAAAAAAAAAAAAGTGTCTGAAATTCATGGACAGGTGCCGAAGTAAAGGATAATAAGAAGTATCAAGAAGATAAAAATAGCCAAATAATAACAATCGTTTACAATTAGGAGGAAGAAACTGAAACTAAACTCACAAAATAAAAACTATCAAATTCATACACTGAAATCCTCATTTCTCACAGTAAATAGTATAGAAAAATAAAAACTAAATGTTAGGAAATTGTCCTAAGACATGGAACCAAAAAATAAAAGAGTTCCATCTCTGATCCATGAAATATGATCAGGACAAGGACAAACCAGCTGTGAAAAATGAATCAATTCATGCGATTTAACATTAAGTGCACGATTAAAGCTCTAATAGATCAATCTTTGACCTAAAGAGAAAAGAAAAAGAAAGAAAGTCTCACCATTAACAACAAAAAGTCTACATGAACGTAAAGGAAAACAAAAATCTGTAAAATTTCTGAACAAAATAACAAGAAATAATGAGAAGAACAATGTTTCTCTGAAACATTTTTCACCTTGTTATAGAGTAACAAGTCAGTGTTGAACGAAGATCTCAATGCAACACCATGACTAGAACAGATCTGCAGAAGCTTAAACCATTAGAAATCAACAGAAAAAAAAAAATCCCAAAAAAAACAGGCGGAACAATGAATAAGATAAATCACTAAAAACACGAACTTCGATGAAAAGGAGAAATAATAATCACCAGAAAAATACGAGATCTCCACATCCATGGCCAAGAAGAAAAACCCTAAAAAAAAAAAAATGGTCGCAGCGTTTCTTCGCCTGTTAGTGAGACAGAGACTCACCCACCCACCCACGCACACGCAGAGAGAATACCTCAAATTAAAATGAAACGCTCGGAAATGCGCTTAAATTCGGGCAAATTAAGGATCCTTTTGGACAGCAAATGAAATGAAACGCGGCGAAATGAGTCCGAAATGAAGTGAAATAAGGGGTAATGAGAAATTCAAAAGGGGTGACCGGAGTGGCCAGTCAAAAGAGCGGTTTTACCGGTTAGGTCGGCGTTACGGTGACCGGCTAAGATATACGGAATAGTATTTTCTAAAACAATTAGTATTCGCACCCATGTTTTCATCTATTTTCACCCAAACTTTGTGTTCGAGTACTAAAACGAAAGGAAGCCTTTTAGTATTGCTTTTGCGTGGCAATAACAGAATAATGGGTGCCATAAGCGACAATCTTCTATAAAATGGATTTAAAAGTGGGTTGGAGTCCGCGAATCAGGAATGAGGAGAGCGTACGGTCTCTATCTCGGACTTGAGGGCGCGAGTTAAATTGGTTTAAATGTGGAGTCAAGTCGAGGGGTAAAATAGTAAAAAATGCCACAAAAGAAGGAGGTGTGGGACATAAAAAAAAAGAACCCTAGCCGCCCCTCTTTGACTCCTCATCTTCCAAAAAGCAAAGGAATAAAAGCATGCTCCCGCGGGTATATGTTGGCGCAGTAAAAGCCAATCTAAATAACCATTACGAATTTAAGACCCCCTTATCCAGGCTCCGGCCTCCTAAACCATCCCACTAATCCATTGTTTCAAAATGAGCGTGAGGTGGATCATTTACTCCTAGATCTATGTCAGATATTTAAATTGGATATTTGGATCAGGTTTGAATCAGTATGAATTGGTAAACTAAAATAATAATAATAATAATAATAATTAAAATAAAATAAAATAAAATTTTAAAAAATTTATGTAAATATAATAGATGTAAGGTACACCTCAAAATTTTAGTAAAAATGAGTAAATTCGAAGTTGGAAGCATTTTAATTCATCATCTCGTCTTTATGATGTTTGGATATAAAGAAAATAAAATTAGTTTTAAATATAGTGCGTATCTCGTCTTTATGATGTTTGGATATAAAGAAAATAAAATTAGTCTTAAATATAATGTATTTTGTAACAGGTTATCTAGACTGTTTATTTCCAAAAATTTTCAAGTGATTTTTTTTATTTACACTATTTTTTTGAATTTATGGGTTGAGCATACATTCATGAGCCGACTAAAGGTTTCCTGAAACTACAACTTCTAACAAATTTTAGAAATACATCTTACTTGTATAGTATAAGGTATATACCCGAGACAAACCTCACCCAAAATTAAAATAAAGGTTTACTGATGGGGATATAGAATTGACAAATGTTAAATAAATTAATATATATATATATATATATATATATGTGTGAAATTTCAAAAAAAAATTGGGCCAAGACCGACATAATCCCATAATCAGTTCAGTCCTGAAGCCTGAATCCCATTCAAATCAACAATCCAAATATGAAATCTTCAAATTTTAAAATATTGCACCAAACGAATACATTTCTGGTACTATTTTAGTCCCAGCTAAGTCCAAGATTTAATTTTTGTTTGAAATAAGCATCGATTTATCTAGCACGGATCTGAAAATATCAAGTAATATACTCCATTAAAAAAGGAGCCCTGAGCAGTTCTTTCACCCAAGGGATCAAGTAGACACGCTCTTGATTTTTTTTTTTTTCGTCTCTTTTGTTTTTTTTTCGCATCCTCTGGAATAATAAAAACAGTTAATAGTATAATCGAAAGGGTGTAAAAAAAAATTTGGATAATTCAGTGGGGGATGACGAATCCCTATTTTTTTTTGTTTAATTATTAATAGTTTTTTAATACGATTAAGTGAAAATAAAAACCTAGACTTTAGTTGAGACTCAAATAGTATTACCACCACGACCCAACCCATTATCAAAATGATGTAATTTTCGATGGGAAAAGGTCAGCTACGATCCATAAATACAGCATGCTTCTCTCACATCTCACTACTATTTTGGCACAACCCTCTTCTCTCTACAGTTTCAACCGGACCCCATCTTCATCATTTCTTCATTTCCTTTTATCTTCGACCTTTTATATTTACATTTGTGACCCTTGTCTACTCCCGATTTTTCTCAAGGCTTAAAAGTTGTTGCATTCATTAAAGTTCGGAAATTTTTTCTATACACCTTGGGAAATCGTTTTTTGTAAGAGAGCCAAAGTTTCAAAACTTTGAAAATTTATATATATTTTTTTGATTTTTTTTTTTAAATATCAGTTGACCTGTAAAATCACCTAAAATCGGAACCGGTTTTGATCTAAACGAGTGGTTAGGGTTAGATCATCTGGTTTTTCTAACAATGATTTGCACTTTTCACCCTCATTTTTCAAAAGGTGTTAAATTAGAACCTACCTTCAATTAGTATCGAGAAATGTGGTTTCAATGCTGGAAATCTTTTTGATAGCCTTCAAATATATTTTTATCTTTATTTATAAAGTTTAAAGCTTAAAAACTAGTGTAGGTCGAGAGATCTATGAAAATCTTGAAAATTGATGGTTCAAAAGTGTGTTGCATAATACACTACTTTCAAAAACTTGAAATTTATTTATTTTTCATGTCCATGCACCCAAATATGGAGATGATGAATTTGAAGATATTTGGGCATCAAAACAACATCTTCTAATAAAATTTTTGATGTAAACTCAAATTTAATTGTTTAGAGCCTCTGGCTCAGTGTAAACTTTTACCTTTTTCAAATGACCTCGTCTTTATTAGTCTCCCTACTCATACTATTCTCGTTCGTGCTCCCTTTAGCACACATTTATGATATAAATCTTGGATGCAAATTTGTAGATATCCATGATCCAAAATATGATGATCATGACTGTACAAATAAAAATAAAAATTAAAAACACTTTTGTAAAAAAAAAATTACTATCCATTGGATAGGAATCTTTACTTGTGGAGGTTTATGTGTGATTGAGCGGCGTCAGTGAGTCCGTTGACTCACAAAACTATTTTCCTGTTTCACACTATGTGCAAACGATATTGTACAAAAGGAGAGAGAAAAGGAAGGATGCTAGTTTAGCTTAGCAATTGGCATGATAACAAGAGCCAATCCGTCTAGATTGTCCTGGTTTGGTTCGGGCCAAATGTAAATGAAAAGCTATGGTCGGGCTGCCGATGTCATTATCATCATCAAAGCTTTTTTCTAACTATTTGGGGTCGGCTATACAAATTCTAATATGTCATTCTACTCCATCAAGGATCGTATCCTCAGTGAAGTCATAGGTCTCCATATATTTTTCTTACTACTCCCAACCATTGTTTTTCTAAGCATTCCCCTTGCTCTTTTTGAGCTTTTCATTGGAACCAATTCACACATCCTATTAGGTGTTGCATTGGGTTTGTGTTGCACATGGCCAACCTGCCCAAGTCAATTTTATCTCATTTTATTGCCTATTGAAGTCGCACCTAATTTCTCACCCTACTTATTTTCCTATATTTGTTTTTTATTTTAAATTTCTACTAGGCTTGGTCCCATCTTAATTGGGCTTGGCCACACAATCAAGGGCATAGGATTGAGCGTAGGCCAAGGCCCTTTCAACCTTGCCTGAGCCAAGCTTCCAGTGATTCTAGGTTTATCTCACCTATGGGTTAAAAAAATGGACCCGGACCCAAATAGCGTTTAGATCTCAATATAAGAAATAGTTTTAAAATGTAATTAAATACATAGATATTTTAATTTTTGGATCGGGTCCGACTGGATTTGGGTCCGGATCATGACCCGATTCATTGCCTGGCCCTAACGATGCACCGAGCTCCGATTCAAAATAACGGGCACTCAAGTGATTGAAAGGAAGGTTGAGGATGGGATGGGATGATAAGATAAATTGTAGCTTAGTTGTAGGACAGAGCAAACAACGGCTTCCGTAGCCCTTCTTTTACAAAAGGTGTAGCGCGCCAACAAACCTCCATTCATCCTTGTCTTTTCCTTTTTTTGTCCACAGAATCAAAGTATAGGGAAAGTCTTAAAAGTAATTTTTTCCTTCTCCCTTTTTCCTTCCTTCATCCATGAAGTAATACTAGTTTTTAGTTTTTCCAGTTGCCTTGCTGCCTCATCGACTCCATTCTATGCTCTTTTGCTTTTCTCATTTTCTCTTGCTACTTTAAAGTTTGAGCTGCTTTTCTATCCAGCATTTTGGGACTCTGCCGAGTCCACTCGGACTTGACCGAGTTACTCGGCTTCACGTTATGGGGGTACAGTCTGGTGTACACATTATGGTGTATACTTATTTTGATAAAAATAATTGATAAATATTCATCAATCTTATTACTTACAAACCTATTGTCTTCTCTTCATCCAAATCAATTTATCGTTGATTGATTTGGTTCAAAACTAATGATTTAGGGATTTATTCATTATTTTTTTGTTAAAAAGAGTTGTATTTTGAAATTATTGATGGTTCTAACAAGAAGATATTAAGTTTTTGAAAAGTACAGAATGAGACTATTTACCTTTAGTACAAGGTGGTCACAATTAATCTTGACCATTTGATGTGAAATTGGATGGTTGCATTTATTCCATTGACCAAGCTCAAACTTCGAAATAATTTTTCTCGAACTTTGTGACATGCCCAAACTATCAAATTTTACATCAGATGGTTGCTAGTAATTGTGACCACCTTGTTTCAAA